AGTCTTCTGGGAGAAGTATAACGCAGTGCTATGTAATACCACTACTACTACTACTACTACTACTACTACTACTACTACTACTACTACTACTACTACTACTACTACTACTACTACTACTACTACTACTACTACGACTACTACTACTACTACTACTACTACTACTACTACGACTACTACTACTACTGACAGTATTATGAATTTTTCCTCCACCAGTAAAACGTTACTCATCAATGCTGTTACTACGATTTTTCTGTTAATGTTTGTTTTACCGTTGCTATTGCAATATATGGGTTAAGAAATAAGCACACCGCTTCGTCTGATGGCAGAAATGGACTAGTTCTCAGCGTTCCTACGATGTCTTGCGGGCGGGAATAGTTAGTTTCGTGGTTCCGTGGTGCTAAAGATATAGTTTCGTGCGGGGCGGGCGCGATTCCCTGGGATGGACCGCCCCCCAGGACGGCCGACGAAAATCCATTTCTCATCAGAGGCGACAGTCGGCATAGGGCGGGGGCGGTTCGGAAAGGAAGAAAGGAACTTCGGATCCCAGTTCTTTTCGGGGAATTATAACGCAGTGCTATTCAATACCAAAATTACTAGTGACAGAATTATGGGTATATTTTTTATTGCCAAACATAAGCCACCGGCATTGGAGTATTACGGCTGCGTTATAACATTATTCGTAAGTATTGATAACCACCACTATTATTTCTAATCGCACGTGTTTTTAATTCTTAGTATGGAATACCGGTTACTAAATCATTCCATCGCTTCGTCGGATGGCGGAAATTGATTATTTCTTTCGCGTCTGAGGACTTGTCGCGGGCGAGAATATGTATTGTCGCGGTTCCGCGGTGCTCAAAATATCGTTCCGTGCGGGGCGGGCGCGATACCTGAAATGGGGCGGGCGGGCGGAGCTTCCCGAGCGAGCCAGCGCTGGCGTGAGGGGCTGTCAGTGCTTAGAACTTCTTGGGGGAGCCATCGCTTAGGCATTCAGTGTTAAAACTGTCAGGACTCGTGCACACTTTTGAGAACCAATGGGCGCGGCGCTGAGGCGAGAACCATCGATTGAAACCGGGCCGCCCTCAATCCGGGCAGCTCGTGCGCAGTTTAATAGCGGATGCAAGAACCATTTTTTGAAACTGGGCCGCCCTCGATCCGTGAAGCTCGTGCAACTTGTCAATAACGAATGCGCGCGGCGCGAAAACTAGAGCTATATTTCTGTTACAGAAAAGCGGCTTTCAACCTGTGAAGCTCGTGCACATTATGAAGCACAAAAGCAACGAATGTGCGCGGCGCTAAGGCGAGAGCCACATTTTGAAAACGAGCCGCCCTCAATCCGTGAAGCTCGTGCACATCTAAAAAACATGTGCGCGGCGTTGAACCGAGAACTGGATTTAAAACCGAGCCGCCCTCAATCTGCGAACGCCGTGCAAATGTTGATAGCGAATGTGCGCGGCGCTGAGGCGAGAGGCAGATGTTGAATCCGAGCCGCCCTCAATCCATCAAGCTCGTGCTTGAAAAAAAACGAACGCGCGCGGCGCTGATGCGAGAGCTAGATTTTGAACCCGAGCCGCCTTCAATCCGTGAAGCTCGTACACACTTCCCCCCCCCGAAACAAACACAATGTGCGCTGCACTGCGGCGACGCTAGATTTTGAATTCGTGCCGCCTTCACTCCGTGAGTCTCGTGCACATGTAAGAAAGCGAATGCGCGCGGCGCTGAGGCGACAGTTCGATTTTGAAACCGAGCCGCTATCAATCCGTGAAACTCGTGCACGCTTGGAGGAACAAAGCGAATGTGCGCGGCGCAGAGGCGAGAGCAGCATTTTGAGAACGAGCCGCCCTCAATCCGTGAAGCTCGTGCACATCTAAAAAAACCATGTGCGCGGCGGTGAACCGAGAGCTGGATTTGAAACCGAGCCGCCCTTAACCTGCGAACGTCGTGCAAATGTTGATCGCGAGTGTGCGCGGCGCTGAGGCGAGAGCCAGATGTTGAACCATAGCCGCCCTCAATCCATCAAGCTCGTGGGTTTTTAACATTATTTTATGTCGTATTATTTTTTTGGAACAAAAGCGAGCGTGCGCGGCGCTGACGCGAGAGCTAGATTTTGAACCCGGGCCACCCTCAATCCGTGAAGCTCGTACACATTTCTCCCCCCTAAAAAACACTATGTGCGTTGCGCTGAGGCGAGAGATATTTTTCGAATTCGAGCCGTTTTCACTCCGTGAATCTCATGCACATTTAAGAAAACGAATGCGCGCGGCGCTGAGGCGACAGTTAGGTTTTCACACCGAACCGCTTTCGATCCGTGAAACTCGTGCGCATTTGTGTATATATATATATATATATATAGATAGATAGCGAATGTGCGCGGCGCTGAGGCGGGAGCTAGATTTTGAAAACCGAACCGTCAACCCGTGAAGCTCGCGCGAATGTTTTCAAGCGAGTGCGCGCGGAGAGCTAGATTTTGAACCCGAGCCGCCCTCAATCCGTGAAGCTCGTGCACATTAACAAAACCTATGTGCTCGGGACTGAGGCGACAGCTAGATTTTGAATCCGAGCCGCCCTCAATCCCTGAAGCTCGTGAACATTGAGAAAGCGAGTGCGCTCGGCGCGAAGGCGAGAGCTAGATTTGAACAGCGGCCGCCCTCAATTCAATATGTGAAGCTCATGCGCAGTTACGGCAGCGAATTCGCGCGGCGCTGAGGCGAGAGCTAGATTTTGAACCCGAGCCGCCCTCAATCCGCGAAGCTCTTCCAAGTTCTCTCAATGTATGTGCGCGGCGCCAAGGCGAAAACTAGATGTTGAAAACCTGCCTGGGGTGGGCGGATTTGTTTTTGGTGTTTGCTGTTTGCGCTGCGCTAAAAATATCATTCCGCTAAAATCACCTATGGGATTGTTTAATGCGGTGCTAAGATAATGGGTGGTGGGTTCTTAAATACATCTTAGGGTTACTTCTGCGCGACAACGCTAGCCCTGCCCTGCGAGTTCTCTCCAGAAGCCCTCGCCCGTGAGCCGTACCTGCTGGCGGCGCCAGGCTGCCGCCAGGCTGCTTTCCTGCGTCGTGCCTTCCCACAACTGCTCGGCCCAGGCCGCCAACGGAGCGGCGTCGCACTCGGGCAGCGTATCCTGGTGGAGTGGTGCCAAGCGCAACGTCGTGGACAGGTGCCGATGGCGGCCGGGAAGACCAGCACTGAGGGCTGCCTGCAGCGCTTGTACCCCCAACGGGCTGCATGCCCAGGGCGCGGTAGCCGTGTGTCACGGAAGGCTTCGTTGGGACATTCGGTTCTCGGTGCAGAGGGATGGTGGGGTAGAGCCTATACAATGCAACACGGGGAAAATTGAGTTGCAGGCCAACAAGGCGCTCGGCATTCAAGAAGGGTAGTTCCGGCAGTGGAATGGGAATGTCATAGGGACGTCTGAGGAGGGGGCTCGGGTCGGGATGGTGTATTGCAGCATCGTTCATGCATCCTGGATTTCCTATGGTCCTCCGCCTTCCCCTGCTCCTTCGCCTCCTCGTTCTTCCCCTCCCCCTCCTCGTTTTCCTCCTTCCCCTCCTCATGCCCCTCCTCATGCCCCTCCTCCTTCTACCCCTCCTCATCCTCCTCTTCCTCCTTCTTCCCTTCTTAGCGTCATCTTCCTTTTTCGCGTCATGGCCAACTGGGTTGCGCCTCCAGATTCAATCGGCTTTCTCTTCTGCTCAGCCTCACGGCCGCAAGGCCATTCGCTTCCTCGGATTTGCCTGGTGTGGCCACTATTTCTCTCTATTCCTTCTCATCCCTCCGCTTCCTCCTCCTCCTCCTCTTCCTCCTCGGTGGTTCGGTGATGCGGTCACTGTCGAGCGATCGCCTCGATGCCCTCGATACCCTCCCCCAGCCAGTGCTAGTGGAGGGCAGAACAAAACCGGGAGGGGAGAAGTTCCTCCTTCTCCTTTTTCCCGATTTCTGAATTGTCTGCATTCATATTTTTTTTGAATTCAAAATTTGTGTTTCTAATCCCAGAAGAAGCAGCTGTCTGAATTCAAAAAACCAGTGTTTAAAATTCAAAAAGCTTCCCGCTGTCGCTGTCGCTGTCGGCGGCTGCACGCGGATCCGCGCTGCGGCCGTTGTCGGGGGCCCCCCCTAGGCGCCCCCCCCACACCCGAGATCCGGAGAGGCTGGGCGACCTCCTCCCCCTGCTCGCCACGGACGGGGCCAGGACGAGGATGAGTTCGTTCCACAGCGTCCGGAACGCTCTGAGAAGGCCGCGGCGCCCGACGTGTCGTCCTCGGACATTGTTTGGCGCTTGACCTCGGGAGGCCTCCTGGAGCCTCCCGAGACACCTGCAGGCCGTCGCCCCCGCCACCCGCCGGGTGCAGCAGCTTCGGCCGTGCGCACGAGACCACGCCCGACGGGGCTGCAGAGCAGGCAGTCGTTTCGGCCTCGCCGCGGGCAGGACGTCGGAGCCCCCGTCCGAGTCGACTCGGCCCCTCCGCCTCCCCAGTCCTTCTGGGCCTGCCAGACGGGGTCGGAGGGTCGCGCAGCATCGCCGATGCATCGCCGATGCATCGGCGATGCGGCTCGATGTGGAGCCCGATTCTCTACGCCGATGTAGTCGATGCATCGCCGCCGATGCATCGGCGATGCATCGTCGATGCGGCCCGACCCTCTGGCACCATCTACGCAGACCGTATTTTGGAGGCCTCTACACAGCTGTGACAAACGTTTCTTCAAATTGCTATGGCGAAGATATCTCCCATTCCTCTGAAGATCCCTAAGATCATGATGACGGCGTCATTTGATGGAGTAGTTTCCGATCCGCCTGATGCTTATATGTCTGTTACAACCGGATCGGAACCTACCCCACGCCACACCCTATGAAGTTTCGAGCAGGATGCTCCCGTGCACGGAGTAATTGGAGCGTTTCTATTTCAAACTGCTCCGCTTTGCCGCGCTATTGGCAAAGGCAGATTGAAAGAAACTTTCGCCACGATGATGTGGTCCTCCCACTCCCCTCCATCCCCTTCTGTTCCGCAAGGCCCGTGCAGATCAGACATCTTTCGGCTGCGCAGTTATCCAGAGGTTCCGGTTGCCGTCGAAGGCCCCTGGCTTCATGAGGCCAGCAACATGGCCAAAGACGTGATCGATGCGCCGCCTTCTCGATCCTCCCTCGCAGTCTTCGCCCATATTGGTGCGCCCTCAGCATCTGGACGCCACCGTTCTCGCGCCGCGCGAATCCGTTCTACCCAGTGAGCCTCGTGAGCGACTGATCCTACCCCTCATCATCAGCCCCCTCCTCCGCCTGCTCCTCCTCCCCCTTCTCATCCCTTTCCCCCTCCACGCTCCTCATTTACTACTTTGTTTGCCCGAGCCCCTAAGACAGCATACGTGTGCTGTCTCAGGGGCTCGGGCAGGCGGAGTGAATGAACAGGAGGGCGCAGGGGGACATGGATGAGGAGGGGGAGGAGGAGGAGGAGGAGTGAGGAGGAGGAGGAGGAGGAGGAGGAGGAGGAGGAGGAGGAGGAGGAGGAGCTGGAGGAGGAGGGGGGGCTGCTCATGAAGAGAAGGCCGAATTGTTCACGCAGCTCGCTGGGTAGAATCGTTCGCGCATCTCGCTGGGGAGCGACGGCTCCCGAGCCCCGCGCCGCCCATGGCGCCGTCCACGGCGCTGGTGGCGGAGGGGGCGCCCCGCCGCACGGTCGGCATCCTCGCGCTCCAGGCCGCGGGGCTTGCGCCGCGGGCGCCGACAGGGAGGAGGAGGAGGAGGGAGGTTTGCACCGTGCCGGAGTATAACCCTGAAAGGTCTTTAGAAGTCTCCCACACTAGGGGAAAACTATCGGCGGCCGTATTGAAGGATTGGGACCCCACCATTAGGGGGTACCTGATTATTTTTCCGCAGCACCGGATGGCTTGAGACACAATGGCTACGGACGGAGGAGGAAGAGCAGGAGGAGGAGGGAGGAGGAGGAGGAGGAGGAGGAGGAGGAGGAGAAGGTTCTAGAACCAGTCCTTTTCACCGCGGAGAGAAAAAGGGGGGGGACCAATTCGAAAGACCCTTGGCAGTTACATCTGTACACGTATTCTTATACATCTACACACGTATGAGGCGTTCCAGAGGGGGCCTCGTCTTCGAGGGTCGGGGGAGTTGACATCTTTTCCTCGGCGGAAGGTGGCGGAAGGTGGCGGAGGCAAGACGAGGGCGACTCCGCCGGCGGAAGCCGGCGGAAGCAGAAGGCGGCCGCACAAGAGATGGCAGGGCTTGTCTGTATCAGGGTTACCATAAACCGTTATATGCGTGTGTGCGTGTGTACGTGTGTGCGTGTGTACGTGTGTGCGTGTGTGCGTGTGTGCGTGTACGTGTACGTGTACGTGTACGCGTGTGTGTGTGTGTGTGTGTGTGTGTGTGTGTGTGTGTGTGTGTGTGTGTTCGTCGACTAGGGTACAGTCAGCACTGACGTGGCCCTTTGCTGTCCCTCGCGACCGTGGTATCAGCGGAGGAGCAGCGTGCTCACTGATGGCCTGGGCCTCGGGCCATGCTCGTCGGTTGCTGCCTGGTGGAGTGCCGCATATCCCTGGGCCGTTCGCGCCACCCACCAGGCCTCTTTGAGCCACGTGCAGAGGGGGGGGGACGGCACAGAGGGGTGTGATGACTGGGGGGGGAGGATATCATGGCGGGGGCCGGCCATGGTATCCCTCCTGATTTCATGGTGCTCGACTTATTTCAATACGTCCCCGCCCCCCCTGGAGCGCGCACATGTCGCCAGCCATGATTTGCTCCCCCACCTCTTGGACGCCCTCCTCTTGGACGCCCCCGAAGAGGGGGGTAGGGGTAGGGGGCAAGGCTTCTCAGAAGCACCCTGCTTCTTAGAAGGCGCGGGCCTTGTTTAGAGTACCGATGTAAGGCCGGCGCCTTCTGAGCAGCAGCTTCCTTCTAAGATGCCTTCCCCCCTCCCTCATACCCCCTTGTGCGCGCCGACAGCTCTTGGACCCGGGAAGAGGAAACGAGGGATCGGGGGTGTTCCTACTGGGCTGTCAGGCTGTGCCAGGTCTGCAGATCCGCCTCGGACGCCCGCGCCGCCTTCTGGGGGAGGAGGGGGGGGCGAGAGGGGGGTGATGCAGACGTTGGGCGGATCCATTCATCCGTTCCAGAGCTTTTTCCCACATGCTTCTGCATCGGTGGGACCGTTTTCGCGCTGGCGGATTATCAAACATGGATTGGGGACAAAACAGTGTCCCTGCTGTGCTGCCTGCTTAAAAACAAGAGTGATCGGAGGTCTGGGGAGAATCCATGTGTTTTGTTGTCGGTGTTTTTTTCCCAGCAGCCCTCGCTTCGAATTAGGAGCGTGTGCGTCTCCCTCCTCCTCCTCCCCCTCCGCCTCCTCCTCCTCTTCCTCCTCCACCCACTCCTCCTTCCTTTGCCCTCCGCGTGCCAATTTTCAGCACATCCTATATACGTTTCGTCCTGCAGGCTGTATGGGATATTTGGTTGCGGTCTCGGTGGGCCCGACCGCATGGCGCAGGCGCCCCCAATTCGGCACACCCCTCACTCATTTCGTGGCCTCGTAGGGAGCCTGCGGGCTCAGCGGGTTCGACCGTATGCCGTATGCGCCCCTATTTCGGCGCACCTCTCACACGCTTCGTGGCCCCATAGGGAACTCCACCGGCAGTCCGAGTGGGCCCAACAGTTTAGCGCAGGCGCCACCCATTCGGCACACCCCTCGCGCGCTTCGTGGCCCCACAGCGCAGCTCCACCCGAGGCCCCATGGGGGGCCGATCGCAAGGCGCAGGCGCCACCAGTGCGGCACACCCTTCGCATACGCTTCGTGGGCCCATGTCTACCTGCGGTCTCAGTGGGCCCGACCGTCTGCCGTACCAGCCCCCCCAAGTCGGTTCTCCACCTCCGCTCTCAGGGGGCCCGATCTCGTGGCGCCCCCAAGGCGGCACACCCTTCCTGCGCTCCGTGGTCCCGCCAGGAGCTCCACCTGCGGTCCCAGTCGTCCCGACCGCATGGCGCAGGCGCCCCCGATTCGGCATACCCCTCGCACGCTTTGTGGCTCCATAGGGCATTGGGAGCTCCATATACGGTTTCGGGTAGGCGCCGACGTACGGCATTGTCGCCCCCAACTCGTCACACACTTCACACGTCTCGTGTTCTTTGGGGAACTCCACTTACGGCCCCAGTGGCACGGTCCGCATGGCGGCGCCGCCCATTTCGGCACACTCCTCAAACGGATCGTGGCCCTGTAGAGAGTTCCACCTATGGCTCCAGAGGCAGGGTCCGCGCCGCACCGCTTACGTTTTGGCCAGAGGTCCGCAAGGAGGCGCCGTCCGTTTCGGCGCACTTTCGCACGTACCGTGGTACAAATGGAGCTCTACTTACTGCCCCAGTGGCAGGGTCCGCATGGCGCCTCCAATTTAGGCACCTCGGATTTTTCTTGAACATCATTGTGTTCAACATGTTCATCATATCGGTATTGAGCTTCGTGATGCAGCTCGAGGATTTGCCCGAGGACATTGATGGCAGTTTTTCTTGGGCGTTACGTTGTCTGGTTCCGGGCCCTGGGAATTGGACCATGCCTGAAGATTTGTACAATTCAAGAGAGGCATTCGGGTTCAAGTTTTCCTTCGCTCGACCTCGCTGCGTTGCGCGGGCCGCTAAGCTGCAAGATATTGAAGTTGTCGCCCCAGATTGTAAAGAACGCGTCAAAGAATTGCGCATGCTGGACGAAGGAGTGCTGCAAGGTCATTTCGGGAGCTGGCACGCCAACTCTTTGTTCGCAATCCTGCACCGCACAGAGCAGCACTTGGAGAATGACGGGATCAGCCGCAGCCGGGACCGAAGGGTGCTGAAAAGGTCTGCTGGGAATGGCTCAGCTTCCAGTCTTTTGCACTCGATATAATCAGTCGCCAATACCGGCCTGACCATCTACAGCGCACTGCTCACAAGCTTGCCCGGTGGAAGTTTGCAGGCGACGAGGCGGCCTTGGTGGCGCGGGTCCAGGAGGCTTGTGGTGACCACCCAGGGTGGCGTCAGCATACCTCCGCACGTCGTTCAACGGCTGGGTCACCCGTCGCCGTATGAGGCACGCAGAGAATGGTGGCGTCGACGAGCTGGGGTAGTGCTTAATTACTCGGCTGCAAGAGCGGCGACGACAGCATCGAGCACTACGGTATGTGTCCGGCTGTGTGGGGCCGTTTGCAGCACGACAGACCTGTTGGGCTGGGCGTGAAAATGCCGCTGGGTATGCCTTCGCTGTTTCTCCTGGATCCGGGAACTTCCGAAGAAGATGTTGCGCTACTCAAACACGGCGTGTACCGCACCACCAACTACCTCCAGTTAGCGCCAACGGCAGCGGGAGGCTCGACCCGGAAGTCGCTCTCCCGCTTGGTCAAGAGGGGCGCGGAGAAGTCCCGTGCCGGACGCCCCCTTCTACGACGATCATTGAGGTCATCTATGTTGTTGTCGCTTCCATACAGTACCCCGCCAGGGGGTGCGGAGTCTTCGACAATAAAGGTAAATCAACAAACATTGACTACTGATGCCCCAGAGAGAAAAATAGCAAACAAACCCAACAAATCTTTCACGACGAGCGCGGCCCCAGACCAAGGGGGGTCCAGTCCGCATGGCGGTGCCGCCCATTTAGGCGCACCTTTCACAAGGATCGCGTCCCCAAAACGAGTTCCGTTTGCGGTTTCGGTGGGGAGGATTGCGTGCACGCCGACGCCATATTCGGCGCAACCATGACGGGATACCCACTTAGGGCCGTGCGCATGCGTTTCCTGACGGATTTCGGTGTAACTTCAATACATGTTTCGCGGCCCTCGTGGATCTTCACATGCGGCCCCAGTTCGACAATGTGTATGCGCCCCCCCACCCAATTCGGCACATCCACCACATGAACCGTGCATAGAGATGTTCACCACCAACGTCACATGAAATTGCTACTTGTTTGGTTTTACGTTCGGCGATGTTCTCAACCCGCGGCCCTTGGTGTCCAGCCTTTGTATGATCGTCTCGATTAAGGATGCAGAGACGCGGTTCCTCGTCTCGGAGCCCCGACTGTTTCGTAGCCGTGTTCCCCCAAACCCACCCACAGTGCTTGCGTTGCTCCGTTACCGTTGTCCGGAGGCCGTGTCTCTGCCTTCAACTGGGCCTGGGATAGGGCTGAGGCAGGCCGAGGGCAATGTCCTCCATGCTGGCTCGCACGCACGGAGGATGTGAGTGCAACCGTTGTGAACAAGTTAGGCCACACATTTCTGCGGAACAAGCCCAGTCCGTGGCGTATTCTAGGCAACCATGATCAAGTCACACGCGCACGCAATTGAGGCACGCCGCTGAGCGCAGCATGGCGACCATGCTTCGCTGCCGAGGCCAGTAGTAGGGGGATTGCCAGCGATACTTGAAGAACTGAATCACGAAAGGATCTTATCACGCTCGAGACATATGTTCGCTTTTGCCTTTCGCTTGCGCGGCCGATCCCAATGCTGAGTGGTGCGACATGTGTGATCAAAGTTTCACTGTTGTTGCAATAGTGACTCTAATTCGCTTGCGGTGAATGTAAGTCGCCGTTGCAGGTGGCAGTCGTTTTTGACAACCTCGCTGCTCACTCCCTCCTGGTCGTCGTCGGCGTCGTCCTCCTTCCCCCTCTACGTTTTCAAGCTTTCTCAGCTGCGCGATGCTTTGAGTTACTTAATGGGGTTCCTTACTCCACCATGCTGTGTTGTGACCCCCCAAGGGTGCTCGATGCACCTGTTTATAACTCGTTGCAGTTCGCCAGCTAGTCTAACTGCGGATTCCGTCACCTGTAATTTCACGAGCGGCGATCACATCCGCATCCGCGCCCTCGCGGTCTGGACTTCGGGGCGCGACGCGATCCCGCGGATGCGCGGTCGCACGGACACATTCCGCGCGGAGCAACCGCGAAAAATCACCCCGCATCCGCGGGGTCGCGGCCCAGGGGCCCAGCTCGCGAGGCCGCAGATACGGAAATGTGCTTCGCCCGCGGTGCACTTAACATCTGCGGCGAAGGATGGTGTTATACGGCGGCGAATTTCATGTCGCGGCAACGGTGGGCCTTCTCAGTCGCTTGCTCCAAATTCCACGATGTTGCTTGGCCTGCCTGCCCGAGGCAGCAAAGAGCGGGCGAGGAGATCTTTGGGCGAACGTAGGAGGAGGAAGTGGTAGGGGAGGAGGAGGAGGAAGTGGAGGAGGAGGAGGAGGAGCAGGACGATGAGGACGAGGAGGGGGAGGAGGAGGAGGAGGAGGAGGAGGAGGAGGAGGAGGAGCAGGTGGGACATGGCAGGGCTAAAAAGGGTTGTTGCCTTCGCTCCACCTCCTGGCGGGCCGTGGGCGCCGCAAAGATGCGACGGCGCCGCTGCGCCAGCGCGAGCTCAGCAACAGGAGGAGGTGGAGAGCGAGAGGGGCAGCGGGATGGATGACGGATGACGTGGGTATGAGACGGAAGACGGAAGATACGGGACTGAATATTGGGAGGATGATGATGTTGATTTTGATGTTGATGTTGATGTTGTTGATGATGATGATGATGATGATGATGATGATGATGATGATGATGATGATATTGATATTGATATTGAGATTGATATTGATATTGATTTTGATTTTGACACTGATATTGATATTGATATTGATATTGATATTGATGATGAGGAGGAGGAGGAGGAGGAGAAGGAGGAGGAGGAGGAGGAGGAGGAGGAGAAGAGGGGGACGAGGAAGAGTAATTGGCGGACCTGGCTGGCAGGCCTTGTCTGGCGGGCGAGCCCTAACCCCTGACGGACGGGTCGGGCGGGCAGGACAGTGAAGCGGACGGGCTTGCCAGCAAACGCACCTGTGGGCCTTGACGGGCGGTCTGGCGGGGAGGTCTTCTGACTGGGCGGATTAGTAGGCGGGCCCAATCACGGGCCGGACGGGCGGGCGGACCTTACCGGACCTTACTTCTTCGCGAGTCCAAGGCAAGATTGGGCACAGGGGCGCCCGGGTGGTCGGCTGGCGCCGCATTCGGCGGCTGAGCAGAGCCGCCCCTGGGCCTCCCGCTCCTCCGCCCATGGGCCCAGGGGAACAGCGGAGAGACTCGCGGCCTGCTGCGCAGGGGGGGAGGATTTGCAGCTTGAGACCATCAGCGTTTAGGGTTTAGGGTCTAATAGGCTTGGCCAGGAATACAACGTGCCCACGAACCCACCTGCGGTGGCCGTCAATCCCACCCGCAAGCCACCCCACCATAAAGATCATCTCTCTTCTCCTTCGAACAACATCGGTGCAAGCGACGACGACGGGGACGACGACGGCGCGGATCAGGAAGTAATATGTTTTGCGTAGGATTGTGGGTGATTTACATAGCAGGTCGTACAGATCCCCATAGCAGGCTCGATCCAGGAATGCGACTGGGAGCACGCATGATCAGGAAAAAAATTGATTTGCATAGGATCGTGGGTGGTTTATATAGCGGGTCGTACAGATCCACATAGCAGGCTCAATCCAGGAATGCGCCTGGGAGCACGCATGAGCAGGACATAATATGTTTTGCATAGGATTGTGGGTGGTTTACATTGCGGGCCGTAAAGATCCCCATAGCAAGCTCGATCCAGGAGTGCGCCAGGGAGCACGCATGATCAGGAAATAATGTGTTTTGCATAGGATTGTGGGTGGTTTACATAGCGGGTCGTAAAGACCCCCATAGCAGGCTCGATCCAGGAGTGCGCCTGGGAGCACGCATGATCAGGAAATAGTATGTCTTGCATAGGACTGTGGGGGGTTTACATAGCGGCTCGCAACGATCCCCATAGCAGGCTCGACCCAGGAGTTCGGATGGAAATCAGAACGCATGGGGTCTGGGTGATTAGGATTTAATAAATATAGGGTTTAAGATTTAGTGTCCACTAGCCCCACTCGAAGCCTGTTGGACGTGTCCCACGCACCCAAGACCCGTGACATACAGCCCACGCGTCGACCGCCATCACATGCCCTGCGGGTGCTGGGCGGGACTGGAAGAGCGTCAGGGAGACGGCGGAAGGCGTTGTCTTCCCATCTGCGTAGCTGGCGTTTGGCCGAGCTCTCAGGTGCATCTCGATGACTGCGCGAGGACTAATGGTACAAGACTCGTAAGTAGATGCCTTGCGCCGCAGCCGCCACTGCGCGCGGCGCACCCCGCTCGGACACCTTCAACGTGCAGTTGCGCCGTCCACAGGGAGCTTTTCGGCGAAAGGCTCTCGGTGGTATGGGGAGCTTCTGCGCGGCCGTGGCAGCCTCGCCACGCCGACTCCGCACGCTTAATTGCGCCGCGGAGTGGCCGCGCGACGAGCGACGATGCGGCCATAGCCGCGCGGAAACCGACGGGGCCATGTCCAGCCTCTACGTGGCGGCCCCTGGAAGCGGTCACGGGCGCTGCTCTTGACCCGCAAGGGGCGAGGCCGCGCCAGCACTTTTCGCGAAGGGCATGATCGCTGATGCGCAGAAGCGCCCTGCGACTTGCGAAGGCGCTCGCTGCGCGGTATTCATCGAGATCCTAGACGCGGGAGCGCCTGGGGAAGGCGCAAGGCGCCCGGAGGCGCTCGGGAACGCCTGGGGAGCGCCTGAGTGTGGCGAACCTTCCCCGGGAGCTCGGGGGCGCCTGGGAGCGCCTCGTGAGCGCCTGGAACGCTTGGAACAGGTTACGGATGCTTGGGGAGCGTCTGGGAACGCCTGAAGGCGCTTGGCAGCGCCTGGGAGCGCCTGGGGACGCCTCGAGGCGCCTAGCGGCGGTCGTGTGCGTCTGGGGTGCGCCTGGGAGCCCATGAGAATCTTGGGTGACCTCCCCAAGAGCTTGGGGGCGCCTGGGAATGCCTGGGGCGTCAGGGAGCGCCTGGGGACGCTTGGAGACGCTTGGGGGAGTTTGGGGGGGAGCGCCCAGGAGCGCCTGGGACATAAACGCGCGCAGGCGTGCACGGGATGGTATTTGCTGACAGGGATCGCCTATGCTGCAGGAGCCAATCTGCGCCTCGTGGTTTTCTGTTGCAAGACATTCTGGCCGCATGTGCAGCAAACCGCGCTTTCTGCAAAAGAAGAAAACAGGGGGTTCAAAAGGGGGGCGCGGAAGGACTTCTAGGATTCAAAATTCAACTTTTCTAGGCCATTATTTCTCAGGGCCTAATGTCGCGGCGCCGTTAGTTCCGACGCGCGGCCTTGCGTCATGGGGAGGGCGCAGCGACCATCAGGGCAAACTCCGCCTCGGGCGCGGCGGGTTTGCCAAGGTGCCGGCGTTGTCTACTTAGATTTGGGACGTATGGTTTGCCGTGGGTTTGCCGTGGTGTCGGCGTCGTCCGTTTTGACGTGTCGAGAACAATCGGCGCGGCGACATATTCAGATCCTTATGTTTGGTATCACCTCCCTAAGATTGTCATCGCCTTGGGGTGCCTATTGTAGGGGCAGACATAAGCGAGGCTGGTTAGAGGAGGAGGAGGAGGAGGAGGAGGAGGAGGAGGAGGAGGAGGAAAACGAGAAGGAGGAGGACGACGAGGAGGAGGGTCAGTGTTCGATCTGGCGGGCTGTCCCTCTGTCCACCCCCCTTCGCCCCTCTTGCCCCTTCTCCAGCGAGCAGTGTGGCCCTTGGGAGCTGGACTGCTGCGCCACAGGATCACAGTATCACAGGAGGAGGAGGAGGAGGACGAGGAGGAGGAGGAGGAGGAGGAGGAGGAGGAGGAGGATTTGCGCGCCTCCGCGTCCAACCGCTCAGGGGGCTTTCGAGGAGCACGAGCAGTGCTTCCGGCGTCTGCCCGAGGCGAGCGCTGGGGCAGGGGCAGTGCCGCAGTGCTGAGCCCGATCTGGAGGGCTATTCCGCTTCCCCCCCCCTTTCCCCCGAATAATAGTCGGAGGGTTCAGGCAAAAGCAAGGCATACCGCGCGCCTCCTCGTCAATGCGGGCCTCCCCACGGGTAGCTTGGTATCGTTGGGTCCCTGTTTGGAAGCGATGACGGCCCGAAGCGAGGCAGGTTCGTTTGCCTATTACATAAGGTGACTTGCGCAAACATGCACTTTCGGAGTGCCCCGCGGATGTCTTGGGTCGGCGTTGGGTCTCCAGCGCCGCCCCTGGTGCGCACCGCGCGCCAAGGGCCAGGGGGTGCAGCGCCGACCCAAGAAGTCCTCACAGATCTCTTGAGCATGTGCGTTTACGCATGTTTGCTTGTACTCTGATCCAGTTCCTCCTTTCCAGTTTTGCCTCCGATCCTCGATGTTTGGTCGAGGAGGGAGGTGCTTCGACGTGTTTGGTGAGTTTTTGGTTGCTTTGGCCCTCATCGAGCCTCGGCAGAGGGCTGCCGGAGGCCTCCAAGGGGCCGGCGTCTTGGCTCAGGACTGATGCTTCGGGGGGCGTCGCACGTTGGCGTTGCATGTCTGCCGCAGGTCAGCGTGATTTTGTTTTATTTTCGGGCGCATGGTGCTATTTGTTCCACCATCAGAGCACTTCGCGTGGTCACTGCCCCAAAGGTGGCGCCGTGTGCTGCGCGACGCCATGGCGGAAGGGAGGCCTGGAGCTGGGAGTTTGTTGATCGAGCCTCCAACACGAAGCAGTGGTAGGGCCGCTGACGTGTGCGTGTCTCCAGGCGGGCACGGTGGTGGCGTTCGTAAGGGAATGTGCCCAGGAGGCCTCAGACTCTAGAGGATTCCTTATCTGGTAAGGGTGGCGGTGGTATCCATGGCCAATCCACGATTGGAGTTCCACTGGCTTGCAGACCCTGGATTTCTGATCCAATGTTTTCTTCTCCAATGCCCTCACCGCGCCTGCCGTGCAGCCACGCGCGTCGCACCCAGCGTTGCAAGTGCGGCCAGCACAAGCGCGAAGGCTCTTGCGCCGACGATCCGGATCGCACTGAAGTGTGGGCGGCAGAGCAGAACGAGGAGAAGCGGAAGGATGAATGTGACCTGGGTATGTGCGTTGTGTGCGTGGGTGGGGGGCAGATCTCATTGCTTCTTGTGCCCTGGCTGCCTTGGCTGGCATTGGCACCTGCTCCTCGTTGGCTCGTGTCCCCCCGAACTTCGTAGGTTTCTGGGTCGGCCTCGGTCTGCTGGTCGTTCCACGCTGCTTACTCGATCCCCTCGCCTTCCCGTCCCTGTTGGCTTAGTGACCCTCACCGCACTGTAGCTTCGTATACCGATCGTCCACTCCGCCATCCAGGCCCGGATGGCTTATGGTTCAAGTGGTCTTTGATGCCCGGGCGCTTCCAGTCTGCGCGCGCTTCCTGCTTTTAGACTTTCTCTGCCCTGTCGCTGCGCGCAGGGTCGCGATTCCAAACAAATCTCTGTGTGTGTGTGTGTGTGTGTGTGTGTGTGTGTGTGTGTGTGTGTGTGTGTGTGTGTGTGTGTGTGTGTGTGTGTGTGTGTGTGTGTGTGTGTGTGTGGGGGGGGGCGACGTGGGAATATCTACACCCACTTGGGGAATGCCCGACTGCCTGCTCCTGCTTAACCTTCTCCCTCTCCCTCATTCTCGCCCTCCTAAACATCCCCCTCGCCCACCACCACCTCTCCTCTCCCTCGTTACCCACCTCACCGTCCTCCTCGCTGTTCTCTTCGTCGACAGTTCCCTTCCTTCTGCCGCGCTCTCCTCCCCATAGTTCGGTTGAAGTAGGGATAAAGACGGGGATGTGAGGATTTGTCCCAAATGTCACATCTTGGCTGTAGTATTGTAAGTATGTGGTCTCACAGGCAGGCTCAGACGGATGAGGGTCATGCAGGAGGCTCGCGATGAGGGGAATGGGGAAGATAAGGTTTTTGATGTTGTTGATGATGTTGTGTATGATGTTGGTTAGGATGACGATTATGATTATGATGCTGATAATGGTGATGGTGATGGTGATGGTGATGATGATGATGATGATGACACTGATGCTGCTGCTGCTGCTGCTGCTGCTGATGATGATGATGATGATGATGATGATGATGATGATGATGAGCATGATGATGATGGTGGTGGTGATGGTGGTGGTGTTGGTGACGCTGGTGGTAATGATGATGATTATAATGATTTGGGGCAGGATGGTAGTAGCTTGTTGGCAAGACGTGGGTCATATTGCGCGTTTGTATGAGATAGGGAGCGGAGGACTTGCTGCAGAAAGTGCGCTTCACGCAGGTGCGCAAAGCCGAGGACTGGCGCCATCCATCCCGTGTCATGTTGTTTGGATAGTTGTTGTGGCCTTCAGTTGATCCCGCCACGGTGTTTGGGAGGTCTCTTAGGGCAGCGTGGGCGCATCTTGGGGGCCTCGTGGACGCTTTCTGGGTGTCCGCTCGCGATTTCGGGAGTCCCTTGGGTGGAAAGGCCTGAATTGTCAGGTCGGTGATTGTCCTTGTTTCTTGGGCCCAACTGCCGCGTTGGGGTCCTCTTGGCCCCAAGGGGCGCCTTGCAGCGATAGTGGGGTCTCTTGGGCCGTCTTGGATGCTCCTAAGGCCGACACGCAGAGAAGGCGAAAATCATATAACAACCAATATGTCTTCAATGTGTTTAGCCAGGGCCTCTTTGGCTGGTCCCCAGGGCCTCCAAGACGGCCCAAGAAACGTGCAAGAGAGCTCCAGGACGGGCGTGTTGGAGCCGTAGAATCAGGACCATTCTCCCGAAGCCTCTGAACAGTTGCGTGGGATTCCAGGGAACACTCAGACCGCCCAGGACTCTTGGGATCTGGCCCCGTAAAGATTATTCAGGTCGCACATACTGGGTTCTCCAACATACTACATACTTGAGGACGTTCCACTCTGTGCCTCGCGGCATGGTGACGGATTGTTGTCCGAGATGATGAAGATGAGGAAGTTACGATGATGAAGAGCAGGTGTCATAGCAACAGGCTCTCAGTGTGCCAGGGCAGCAGCTCGCTCAGGCGAAACATCTTCCGGTTGCTTGTTCGGGGCGCGCAGTTGCCATCATCATTGTTATCATGTTCTTATTTCTCTTCGTGCGGGGGTGGGCATTGGAGGTCTGGGCCAACGCGTGCACGCATTGTTCGCTTCCTTCGGGTTGCAAAATATCTAGCGCATGCTAGCATTCGAGAGGTGGTGCTATCATCTGTGGCACAAATGGTGCTGGCGGTGTTCGGATCATCACCTCGATCGCCATCGTCGTTTCATCGCAATCGTCAATGCTGTTACCTCCATCCCTACACGCATTATCGTCGCTACTCGCGCGACGAGGCTCAGCGCGTCTGCGCTCATCGATCTGAGCCGAAACCCGCAACGCCAGGCCCTCCTGGCCAGTACCCAGCAACACTGACGAACCGCGACGTGCAACTTTTCGTTTGTTGCCGAGCACTGTGCACGCGCCTTGTTACACACGTTTTGCTAGTACTGGTCGTAGGTCGTTGTCGCCTCACACAGCGGGCTGCTCTTTGCTCGTCGCGTTCCACCCCCATCTGCTGTTTACAATCCGTTAGTCACTACAACAATCCGCCCCTCCCAACAAAAAACACAATCTTTCGTGCTACGTGCTCTGCACGAGATCCATTATGGGTCCGTGCGTGTGTGCTTTCCCAACGAGCTTGATTGACCAGGGCACATGACAAGCCCATTCTAACCATCCCAATTATCCAAGCCCTCAGTACTTCTACTTCCCTCCTAGTGCCCGCCTTCACCCCTCAAACTTCCTGTTCCGTCACATCCACATGACATCCACCATGATTCACATGATGGTGACATGCATTCCACACCGGATCTATCCACACCTTCGCACTCATTTTTCGCGCTGCGTTGCGCCACGTGTTCTTTGGGCGCAAGTCAGCAGCAACACATCACTGCGCCGGTGATGCTATATTATATTTGCGAGGGGCCTGCAGCCATTTCCCAGCGCGCGAGAATCGGAGCCAGGAGCGCCGCCTGACAGCTCAGGTCCTCTTGTGACTAACACGAGCTATGAGCGCAGGCAGGGTCTGTTGCGCATTCTTGCCGAGGTGCCGTCCACCGCCTATGTCATAGCCATTGCACGCGAGGCGAGCGCCTACTTGCAGCACTTGCGAGAGACTTGCTGTCTTTGTCACTGGCTTCTGTCCTGCTAGCCTGCAGTCTTCGGGCCCTTGTTACTACCACCTGGCACCCAGGCTCGCGACCCCCTCCAGCTGCACCACGTCCTTATTCTTCACATTCGGCTCCACATCGTCCTCTTCCTTCGCCACCTTTCCCTAGTCTTTTCTCCTTCGTCCTAATCTCTCTTATCTTCTCCTCCTTCTCGACAGCCCTGGCACCTATTCCTCGCATCGAGAGGTGACGAAGGACTCCCCCTTCGGCAAGGCCACGTAATTAATCAAGATACGTAGACGACTTACAGGCAACTGCGCGGCAGAAACACGCGGGCGCGCGAACGGCGGTGGGAACCAGAAGCGCGGCGTGGGGAGAGCCGCAGGAGCTTGACGACTGCGACGCGCTGGTCATTCCTGGTGGCGAGTCCACCACCATGAAGATCATAGCCGGCATGGACGAGTTCGCGAGGGTGCTGAAGGCCCGACGGAGGTGATGTTGAATCGATGATGGGGTTCGGCGGCACAACGTTTCCGTAAGGCAGGCCTTTGATGTACGGTGGGGGCGTTGGTTGAGGAAAGTGCCTGATGTGGCCAAACCACGGCTGAATTTCCACCAGCTTTCAGAGCCTGGAGTTCTTATTCGATTGTTTTCTTACCCAACGCCCTCGCCGAAGAGATGGCATAGAGAGCACGGCGGACGGATGGATGGATACCAGGATGCGCGTGGGCACGAGGCGCGCGATGGATGGAACGCTGATGTTCACTTCTGGTCGGCCTCGCCTGGCCGATCCCCTGCGGGCGCGCCTCACTCTGGGCGCTTGCCTGCGGGAGCTCCGATGCTTGCAGCTTCGCATCATACGTTTTTGGCCGAGGCGTCCTATGAGGAAGATCGGCGGCGAGCGAGGGCTGGAGATGAGAAGGTGGAGGCCTTCTCAGAAGGCGGCGTGGCCCCTCAGACGCTCTCGGGCCTTCTGAGAAGTTGCCTGCGTCTTCGGGGAAGGCTTAGGGCATTTCTCAGAAGGCCGGAGGACTGTTGAGCCTTCTGACAAGACCCGCCACGTCTCACTTCCCCCCCAGGCGCGCCGCCGAGAGGAAAGGGAGAAGAGAACAGTGAAAATGTTCAGGCGTTGGGGTGTCCTTGTTTTCCTCATCCATTTCTCTGGGGCCGCCCATGTGAGTGCACACGGCCGCAGATACGGAAAACTGCGCGTTCACACGCTGCCTGCCAGCTCCGCGAAGGGGTTCCCCCCTCCGGGCAGCCATTCCTCTCCCGTCAGCGACCCCGCTGCCCCCCAGGTCTGTTTCCACTGCGGTCTCCCCCGCAGCTCCCTGTGCGCCACCGCCCGATTGGGCCCTGCGCGGACAGAGCTGCGGGGAGGCGCGCGGGCCAGGGCGGGCGGGGAGGCGGAGGAGGCCCCCGGGGTCCAGCGGGCGCGGCGCCGAGGGCGCCCCCGCTGGCCGGAGGAGGCGGCCGGCTGCGGCCTCCCGTGCTCGTCGGGTGCGGGCCGGCCGAGCGGCAGGCTCTTTGCATCGGGAGCTCGTCGGGGGACCGTCGGAGAGACCAGACGCGAGGCGGAACGGATACCGTCGGGGGGGGATTCCGTGGGAGACCACGCGGGATGCCACAGGGGAGGCCACGCGGGAGACCCACCAGACGGGGTACCGCATGGGGCACCATGCGGGAGACCCACGGGCTTCCGAGGTCTGACTTGTGGGAGTCATCCTTCGCTCTGGGCGACAAGACAAACTGCTTGCTCCGAGCTTCGTAGTAAAATAATGCGGGTCGCAACCCTCCTAGAAAAACAGTTTCGGATTCCCCCACGCCAGCCATGAAAGAGCGGCCTTTGGCTCAGACCCCTCAGAACCCTCCAAGGCAGCTCAAATAGACCCCCATCCCAAACACATTTCTTCTTCATTTATTCCTCAAACAGTTATTGCACGTAGGGATTCTTACTTCTGTTCCGAGGAACTCGGTCTGGGTGTCGGTCTGGCGGCTCCGTGCTCGCCGTCGCCGCCTAGTCGCCGCCTCGTCGCCGCCCGTCGTTTGGGCCTGGGTGTCGGTCTGGCGGCTCCGTGCTGACCGTCGCCGCCCCGATGCCGCCTCGTCGCCGCCCGTCGTTGGTGCATGGCGGCTGGTCCGGCGGCTCCGCGGTTGCCGTCGCCGCCCCGTCGCCGCGCCGTCGCCGCCCGCTGTCTTGGCTTGGCTGCCAGCCTGGCGGCTCCGTGGTCGCCCCTTGCCGCCTCGTCGCCGCAATCAGGACGGGGCGACACAGATTGCACCACGCATCTAGCACAGCATAGCTAGCAAAACATATAATATTGCACTGCAAATATCATATATCCTATTTTGCACCACGTATTTGGCACCACATAGACTGGTGCACAGCACATCGTACATGGTACTCCGTACCTGGCACCACATATATTGCACGACATCTACTGCATAACATTTGTTGCATGCTAGATGTATGTATCGCTAGAAACTGTTTTGGGGATACGCTGGCTAACACATAAGTTTGGGGTATGCACTTACCAGTTCAACATGTGTCGATGTAGCTTTGTTGAGGTCGCTCGTTGCTTACGCAAACATCGATGACGCAGTGTGCACATTCGTTCGCATGTGCATCGGTGATCGTCTAATTCTCGGGGTGTAGGCGCTGCGGGTGTGGGTACATCTTTTTAGGCTTGATGCGCGCATAGATTTGCTGCTGGTCCCGTGCTCGTATCTTGTATGCTGCCACTTTTACCGCTCACATGTTTCTTCACGTGTGCTCGATGACTCCGGCATGTTTGCGCACACACACGGATGCATGATGCTATGTGTGGGCTGTAGGTTCGCAGAACGCATTCTGGTGACCTGTGTCTGTGTATTGGTGGGCTCAGTTAGACTCTTGTTACAATATACATTTTTGAATTTGCACGATTCGCATTCACTCCGACAAGAAACGATTGCACGTACACTTGCATGCAGTGTGAGCGCCATTTCGGTGTTACATGCGTACGTGCCCAGCAATGGCCCTGGCACCCAGGCCGGAGGCCCTCCTCGGACAGGATTCTTTGGCGTTGGAGCAGTCGTCAAGCAGTCGCGAAGCGTCCTGGCGCGTTTGTTGCCCAACCAAACAAGGTGCTAAGAACCTGTTGTGGTTTCCACGAAATATTCTTAGAGCATTTCTGGATGGGACTGTCTTGTTGAATCACATCGGGTTTATGTTCTAAGTACATCCTTTTTGTTATTAGAATATTTCTGAGTTCTAAGACCATTTCGTGGAAGGACTATAGGAATGCCCGGGACGGTCGGTCCCTGCTCAATCAAATTTGTTTCACAGACTCGTTTTCATTTTCTGCAGCTATCAGAGCTCTCGCGGTCGTTCGCCTCGCTTTGTTCGCATAAGGTACTCGCTAGTGGCATTCGGCTTTACTACTCGATTGCACGTTTCAGTCTTCTGACAGTGTCCATTCGTTTAGCATGTGGTTCACCCCCTGGCCGTCACTCGATATCGTTATCGTAACTTGTAACTGTAAGGATGACATCCGCCTTCGTTATCGAATCTGATGTTGCACGGGTCTTGCAAGCGCCTTGCGATCTTACGTTTCCAGAAGAGCTGTTTGTTGCATCCAGTCGGCACGTTCATTCTCGAAGTGCATCAGGGATTGGCGAGAGGCGTAGTTTGCTCATGGGGGGATGGTTTCGTCTTGCGTGCATCTCGGGCGCATGAGTTCGTTTTGCTGGGCGCATATCCAGGAAGCCGCGTGTGTCCTGGAGCGCGCATGCAATTTCAGACGGTCCGCTGCCTCGAGCCTCGGCCAGCTTACAGCCCGGAGTGGGGAGACGGAGCTTCTGCAGGATTCCAAGAGGAACGTGAGGGGCCAGGAGGAGGGAGAGGAAAAGAAAGGAAAGGTGAACATGGACGGGGAAAAGGTCTGGGCCTGAGCGGGCCCCGTTCCGTACGCCATCCCACATCATTGGTTTTGCCGTTGTTTTGCTAAACGCGGGGCACGCTTCAGGCCATCACGCTCCCTTTCCAGACTCGTTCTCCCGCCAGCCAGCCTGGCACAGACGTGTCCGCCGAGCTCGTTCAGCAGCGAGGACGTCGGTGAGATTGGGAACCGCGGTCAGCTTCTTGCAGAGCCAGTACATTGCTCAGTATTTACCTGTTGAAGCGGCGTTGAAGCAGGGACTGGCCTTGTCGGACGGCCATGACATGTGAGAAGAGTTATTGCGGGGCAAGGGGGAAAAGAAAAAACAACCGACAGAGGTATCTCATCCAACCCAAACGCTTCAGAGTTGAAAATGTTGTGGCTGCCAAACTCAGAGCCATGTTCGCATTAGTACCTGTCGCAGGTGAGCAGGCCACTGGCAGGCGAAATCGTTTCTTCCAGTTGCCGCCAGGGCAAGCTCCGACGACGGCATGGACACGGAGGCAGGCCAGACCCCGCCATGGTCGAATATGGTGAACTACGGCCACCTGACTACTGAGTGCCAGCGCGTCCTTGATGTCCAGGGGAAATCGCCAAAAACTGAAGACAACAACGTAGCCAAGCAGCATGTGGAGGATGCAGTTGAACACCTACCTGCGGAACGTAACAATGCCAACTCGCCGCAAGACTTATCCGTGGCTTCCAACCAGAAGCTGCGGACACTTCGGTCAGCATGAGCATGCATGATCAGGATCGCATCAGCGAGCTGGAGGCTACCATCCAGGCGAAGAAAAATATGATCGCACAAAGGGAGGATCACATCACGAAGTGCTAGTCCCGCATCGCCGAGCGCGTCTCCTTTTGCGCAGTACTTTTCACCCGCCCCACCCCAGGAGCCTCGTCCGAGGCTCCGCACCATCGGCATCCATCGACTCCCTCCTGTCTGTGTTGACGGCCTTCCAGAAACGTGCCACGGGTGATGGGAGAGAGAAGCCGCTGGGCCAAACGCAACAGGTGGTGGCAACTATTCATCAAGTGCACCAGGCAGCGCAGGCTCCAACGGCAGCTCCTCAGACACCCGGCCTGGCACCAGCGCTTACGACCCCGACGGGGGCGTTTCCAGGTGCAGGGCAGGCCGGCAATAAAGGTACGGGTAGCAACGCAATATCTATCAGTCAAGGCGCTGGTGGTGATGCCATTCGACGTCGCAGTCGCAATCGTGGCCCAGGAGCAGGGAGGGGCAGCTGAAGGTGGTCGAGTGGAAGTTCCACAGAGGTGTACCAGTGCAAGTTCCAGGCTGACCTTCTAAGTGGGCGCACAGCACTGCGACAGTCATCCAGTCATCGGCTCGGGTTGGGGCCCGGCCCAGCGAGTCATTGTTTCCAGATCTGCGCATATCATCCTCGCACAGGAGCAGAAGATGCAGGCCCTAGGAATCGTTCGAGCCAATCCTCTCTCACATTGATTTTAAGCGCTCAGTTTTGAAGGGGCTACAGCGCGAGCTATGGCATGGCAGCGGGAGCTGCGATGACGGGCCGAGGTCCGAGTTCACTCGGGCGCC